GTAGTGTATGGCAGAGGCCTAACTCCAAACCCTGTGCTGTGAATTGCCCTGTTCTATCATAATACTCCTGAAGTTAGATCAGAAAATTGTGTTGGCTGTGAGTGTTGAATTTGGGCTAAAGAGATAATGGAAGTTTCATGAGAGTTAGCTTCTTGCTTCACTTGACTCTTTTATCCTCATGTTGCCCCCATGATTCCAGTATTTTTAATATCTTTATTCATTTCCTATGGTTGCCATAACAAAATACTGCAAACTAGGTAGGTTAAAATAACAAAGATTTATTCTCTCACAGTTCTGGAGGCAAAAAGTTCCAGATATTGGCACCCTCAGTTCTAGGTTGTGGCCGTTTCCTTGCTGTGGACACTCTATCTCAAAGAACCATGAAAGAATTCTAGAAGAGGCGAACACTGATGACCCTGTTTTTAAAAATTGCACCCTTGTTCCCAGCACTGCCCAATCTCACACACTCTGCTGTACTGTCCTTACCCCCTCATCCCTCATCGCCTCCTAAGGTACTGTAGGGTTCGTGTTATGATGTTGCTGTTTGCCTCATTTTCCCAATTAGGTTGTAAGTCCCAAAGGGAAGGAGTTCTTTGCTGTGTTCATTGGTATAGCTCAAGAACAATGTCAGACACACAGTAGATACTTAACATACTTTGAAAAAATTAGGTAGACCATTTCTATACATTTTACACGATCAGGGAGAGAGAAGAGGGGCTGGAGTAAAGTTACTGGGTAGAGGAAAATTGTTGGTTACAATTTCTAACACAGTTTCCTTAGAGTTTTTCCCACAGAGAAGGCAGGACACAAGTCATGAAGAACTCACCGAGAGGGGTGTGTGATGTAGGTGTGTTTGCGCACGTGCGTGCGTGCGTGTGTGTGTGTGTGCATGCACAAAACAGTGTGATTGAGTATAAAATAATTCCTAAGCTGTAGGAGTAAGACATGAAGAATGAGCAAAAAATGAATGTGGGTGTGGGTTTAATTGTTGGGAAAAGTCAACAAAATACGGGAAGGAAACCTATCTAAAACTCAAGATCCGGAAGGTCACCACCCATTCTCCTTAATCAACAGAACAGAACTGTGTTTCCTCAGACAGGTCCCTTAACACACATTTGTCTTTGTAGCATAGTTGTAAACACCTCTGTAAGATGATATTTCTTTGTGATGTAAAACCTGTTTTAGAAACTTTAAACATCCTTCAAAATGATTTTTGATTCTTTTTCTTTCCTTGCCTTTTTCTCTGCCCTATTTTCTACTTATTTTTGTTCTATTTCTTTATTTCTAGCAATGAGTTTATCTAACAATAATAGAAGCTATTTATATAAAAAAAGAAAAATCATAATTTTCTCCCACAGAAATTGTGACTGAGTTACAATTGCCAGGCATACATATACTTCTGGGCTTTTGTGCACATCAATGTGTGTATCTTTAATAAAGCCTGGAGCAATATTTTTAAACAGCACTAAATTTGCTTACTGTCAAAATTAAAGTTATGGAAAAGATCTTAAGTAATTTGTCTTCTAATCAAAAAATAGTTTGCTTTCTTACAGTCAAATAATTTGCCTTGTGGGAACAAAATCTCTCAGAAATACGAATTTGACATTTAGAGAGAGCCTGGTTGAAACATACCTTGAAAATATTTATAACTGTAAGTTTCTGTTTGTCAACAGAGCTGTGTGCAGACCAGCACTAAATTTTCCTCCTCTCATTCATCTTGTTGGGTCTGTTGAAAGATGTGGCTCTTTCAGAGGCTCCAGAAATTTTTCAGTGATGCAATTCCACTCAGTTTCCTGTAATTAAATGAACTGAGCCTTGTTGAGGTTGTTAAGTTTGATGCCAGTGTTGTCTTTTAATAGTTTATCAACTTTGAGGCAAGGTTGTATGCAGTCATTTAGGTGTACAAATCAACAATGTGTTAGAGGCCCACATTGGGTTTACATTTATGTAATTGTAGAGAAGATCCAGCAAAGAAAGGAACCAAGTGAGAGTGTGCTTGCTGGGAATATTTCTGTGGGTTTCCCTAGCAGCATGTCTTGGCCTGGACCAAGAGCCCTTCTCAGGCACTAAGTGTGTAGAGCCCTCCACAGGCCTCTGTCTTGGTGCTCATCAGTATTGGACTGAAAGGATATCACCTTATTTGCCTCTTCTACCAGACTGTGACTCCTTGAAGGCTGATAGTGGGAATAATAAGAAATTAATTGTAGCTCCCAATTGTTAAGTCATTATGTTTAGGCCTGTGTGCTCTGCCTATATGATTGTATTTGAAGACTCACAGCGCTAAGATGTACTATCCCATTTTACTGATCAAAATTCAGGCTCAATAACTAGAGAAAGCAGAACAGTGTCACACAGTTATGATGTGGAAGAGTTGTAATGCTTCCAGTTCATGTTGGGGCTGAGCCAACACAGTACCAGTTGGTGTGAAGTACGAAGGAGTGAATTGAATGAGTAGAAATGTAAAGGGGTAACTTAAAGATGTTTAAAGTTTGTTAATTTAGCACAATATAGATTTAAAGCGACAAAGCAAATACTTTTGTTCCTAGAGGCGATTTTAGCCTGTAAAAACCCGAAGAAGCCCATTTCCTCCAGATTAGAGTGGAAGAAACTGGGACGGAGTATCTCCTTCGTCTACTACCAACAGGCTTTCCAAGGTAAGAAGCTGAAGAGTTAATGAGGTAAGAGCAAGAGAATTCCAAGTACAGCCTCACAGCCTCGGTTGTTCCATTTAAATAAGACCAAGATATGACTGATTACCAAAAATGTGTTGCTGTAAGTGTGAGGTGAAACCAACAGTGTCTGACCTAAAACACAACAGCCACAAAAATAGAGGCCTGAGAAGAGAAGTAAAGTGCGGTCCACTGGGCCTCTGGACCCTTCATTGCTCAGCTCAGTCTTAGAAGACACAAAATGCAATTGTTTTTGCTGGCCCAGAAGATTAAACTCTTGAGAAAAAAGGAAGGGAAAATGATGAGTTTGGGATGGAAGATTTGCTGCCACCACTGAAAGCTCAGGGAGGACAAGGAATTACAGCGACAGTTATCAAGTGATTTTTATTTAGTTTACATTTCTTCCCACTCTCTGCTCTCCCTGTTGACTTCGCAATGTGCTTTCAATTAAAAATGTGATAACAGTGGATGAAATGTCATGACATTAGTTTGCTTAAAAATTATCCAATGGTTAAGGGTACTGATGAAATAAGATTGAACATCCAGTGATTCCCGTTGACAGCTAGAAAATGAGTATAACGAGGTTTATATTCATCTATTCTCTTATTAGATATTTGAATTTTTCCATTATAAATATTTTTATGGAAGTACAACTTAACAAGGATAGTAAGCATGTCATTATTTAAAAATACTATTCGTTATTTATTTTTAAAGAAATAAGAGAAACATGTTTACAGTTTATAGAAAATTTTAAATATCCTTCTGGTTCTTATGTCTCAAGATAAGACTATAGGCTGCAAAGTTCTAATAGCACAGTTCTCTTCACGTGAATTTTCTGTAGTTTCCAATCCTGGCATGTGCACATTACACAACTGTGCTTGAATTCCGTACATACTGCTATAAAAACTAAAACCCGAAGAATGTTTTCAAAACAGCACCCTCTCTACTCCTAATCCTTTTCTTCTCTAGTATTGTCATGGAGACCACCACACACAAATGTGCCACCTTGGCCAGTTAAACCAGTCTTGCCAGTGCTTTCTGAAAGCAAGAACATTGCTAAAGGTATGAAGAAAGTGACAAGACAGACATTTTGGTTGAGTTTTAAAAAAATAGATATGGGAATATGAAATTATTCTTTTTAAAGCAGTCTTTTTAAAGGAATTCAAAGTAATTAGATAGAAAGTAGATAGATAGAAAGATAGGTGGATAGATAAGTGCACCCTCCCCATCTCTTTGCTGTTTTTTAAAAAACTGAATCTTTCTAATTACTAAATTATCCAGGCTGGGCTTGATCTTGCAATCCTCCTGCCTCAGCCTCTGAGTGCTGTAATTACAAGCATACATTGCCATGCTCAGCAATTGGGGGTTTAGAATTGAGTTTACCATGAGGAAAACAAATGCTTAGTTGCTAGAATGATGTGGGAGATATTACATAGAAAGTTATCTATCTATCTATCTATCTATCTATCTATATCTATATCTATATAGATATAGATAGATAGATAGATAGATAACTATAGATATAGATATAGATAGATAGATAGATAGATAACTTTCTATGTATCTATCTATATCTATATCTATATATCAATATATATAGATATATATTTTTTTGGTACCAGGAATCAAACTCGGGTCCTTGTGCTTACAAGGCAGGTGGTGGAACCACTTAGCTAAATCCCCAGCCCTGAAATTTATTTATATTATTATCTTCTTTTTCTAAAGGTGATTTTAAAGATCGAGCTGAAATGATAGATTTCAGTATCCGGATCAAAAATGTCACAAGAAATGATGCTGGGAAATATCGTTGTGAAATTAGTGCCCCATCTGAGCAAGGCCAAAACCTGGCAGAGGATACAATCACTCTGGAAGTATTAGGTAAAGTGCGTGTATATGTGTAGCTGCTGTCCCCTGCCTTGTCTTCAGCTTCAGCCCATGGAAACGCCAGCACGAACTAGGACCCCAGCCAATAAAGCTGCAGGAACCAGAAGATCTCGACTGTTTCTGCCTACCGTCTTAGCGTTTGTGCTGAAATTTTATTCTTGCTAACTCATTATCAGAAAGCCTTTCCTTAAGATTGATGCAATTCTTAGTGGTCTTACTCTGTATGTAGGAGCATTTTCCTCAAGATTTCACTTTCTTTTTCGAGACAGTGTCTCATTTTGTAGTTCAGGCTAGCCCTGAACCCATTATGTAGCTCAGGCTAGCCTCAAACTTGTGGCATTCTCCTCCCTCTGCCTCCCGAGTGCTGGGATTACACGCGTGCGCCACCACACCCAGCTAAGATTTCACTTTTTAATAGCTTTCAGCATAAGATACTGTTTTTCCTATCATCTAAAATGGTATCGCCGGGTGTGTTGGTGCAAGCCTATAATCCCAGCACTCGGAAGGCTGAAGCAGGAGGATCACGGTGAGTCCAAGACCAGCCTGGTGATCTCCTGATGATCCCCTGATAAATTCTAGGTTATTCTCAAAAAACCAAAAAAAAAAAAAAAGGTGTCACATGATAGGAAAACAAACAAACAAACAAACAAACGAAAAGCCTACAATGTGGGAAGGATTAGAAGGTATTTGTTTTTGAAAAAAATTAGCTTTTATTTCACAGCTAGTGCGTGTTAGGACCTTTACATATATAACTTTACTTCATATTCACCAACAACCTGATTTTCATAGATGAAGAAATAGACATTAAATTATATGGATCCAGATGGGGCAGCTGCAAACCTGGTATGTGCAATTGCTACAGGAATTGTGACAGGCTAAAGGAGTGGGGGAGGTGGAAAGGGTAGGGGAAAGCAAAGAAGGGAAAAGAAAAAGTATGAGAAAAGGAGAAAACAGAAACAAAGTCTTTGCAAATAAGGAAGGGTGGAGGGGTGAAGGGAGGGCAGGGGAATGGGGAAAAATAAAAACCAAGATACATCATGTAAAGGTACACGATCCCAATGATGAATGTAACTGTACTGTAGACCTAAAATGTACCAATAAACTCAATTGAAAAAAAAAAAAGAATCGTGACAGAAAGCATCAGCATAGAGGAACATGATCTCTTCTCCTTTGTTAGCATTAGCATAAACTGCCAAGTAAAGAAAGAAAATAATTCCTTTTCCCTTTTTCATGTTTTCCAGATTTTTCTTGAAATACTAGTAAAGCACTAGTTAGACAAAATATAATTTAGGAAATGTAGCAGCAGATTCAGCTGGTACATTTATTTTCTGTTGCTGTGTAACAAATTATTACAAGTTTAGCAGCTTGAAAGAACACTGTTTACTAACTTATTGTTCTACATATCAGAAGCCCAGCAGTTAGGCCGGGTTGTACTCAAAGTATCACAGAGTTGAAGTCAGATGTTGGATGGGCTGAATTCTTGGCCCAGGCTTTGGAGAAAATCCATTTCCAGGCTCATTTTGGTATTAGGAGATTTTACTTCCTTGCGTTGGTAGGATTGAGATCCCATTCGAGGCTGTTGACCATCCGGCAGCCACAATCAGTTGTTAGAGGCCACTCACACATTCCCTACCACTGGGGCCTCTCCATCTCCACAGATCACCTTTCATCTCTTCACGTGCTTTGAATCTCTGACTCTCCCTTTTGTTAGTAGTCAGAGAAAACGTTCTGCCTTTCATGGCTCAGTTTATTAGGTCAGCCCGATGTGTAAGATCTCCCTTTCTCAAAGGCAGTGGATCTGGGGCCCTAATTACATCTCCATATTCCTTCACAATTGGACCAACATTAGAATTGGATTCAGTGACTGAGAGAACATGTGTGTATACCAAAGACGGGGACCTTGAGGGACCATCTTAGAAACCTGCTTAACCTTGGGCACTTCTGGAATTTCCTTTCTATGAGATCATCCAGTGAAGTCTGCTTTACTTTTCAAATCCCTGAGAGCAGAAGAACTCTAATTCCTGGAGTCATTGCTTTCTGTCTTGGCCAGGTATCAACAGAATAGTTTTGGTACCATGCCTAAAAATTATCCTCACATTTGATTTCTTCTGAACACAAGTTGACAAGAAACATTAAAGCCACTGGTGAAGAAAACAGTAGAGACAAAAGAAAAAGAACTGTTTTACTGGCCAAGATAACGCTCGCTATTACAGCAGAAAAGCCTTGAACTCTTGGTTGTTGAATGGCTTCGTGTAATAGAAGTTTCTTTTTCAATTAAGTAAAGCCCTAGCTAGGGCAGGGCCAGTAGTGGAGCGATATTACTCTACTTCCTGAGATTATTACAGACTCAGACTAGTGTAGGTCTGATATCTTCAATCCGTGGCTTTCCAAGATTACTTGCGGTGTTAACAGCTACTTGGTAGTGGGAGAGGACAAGGGGAGTAAATGAATGGACAGTCACGAAGGGAATTTTTATAGATGACGATTGGGAATGGCTATATCACATCTACCCAATTCTGTTGGCCAGTATTCATGCATATGACCCCCACTAGGCAGCAGGGGGCTAATGTGGTTTTCTGTGTGCCTAAGAAGAAAGGAAAAGGATCTGTTGAACTGGGGCCATCTCTATACAGGTGTCTACTAAGCACATTTTTACTGGGTATTAAAACCCATATTTAGCTTTCTGGTAACTGACTATTTGCCTTCCTTTGTTTAGTGGCTCCAGCAGTTCCATCATGTGAAATACCTTCTTTTGCCCTGAGTGGAAGTGTGGTTGAGCTACGATGTCAAGATAAGGAAGGTAATCCAGCTCCTGAATACATATGGTTTAAGGACGGCAGTCGTTTGCTAGAGAGTTCCAAACGTGACTCCCGGAGCACCAACAGCTCATACACAATGAATACAAAGTCTGGAACTCTGGTAAGTTCAAGTTTTGGCCTAATAACTGACATTTGGATGAAAATATTACTAAAGCTTAAAGTGATGGAGAATAGGGGGTGATGCCTTTGCTCTCTCCGTGGAGAGAGGAGGGAGTAGAAGGAACGATGTTGGTGCTGCCACAGAGATGTGATGGGAAGGGCTGCTGTGTGAGGTGGAGGACAGGACAGGAAACCACAGAGCTGAGTGTGCAGGGGTCCAGCTGGGCAGCACCTGGTTTATGACGATGGGTCAAGCAGGTCTCTCCAGCCACCTTTCTGGCTTGGCACAGTCGTAATTGTGGTCTCAAGGACACCAGCGACACACAAGAAAGCTCACTCGAGGATACCGGAGCCCAGTGCTAACCAGGTGACAACGGCGACTGGAAAACCCATGGGCCCATGGTAGGATGCCTCTGTCTTTACATTTTCCATGACTCTAGATTGTCAGCAGTTGCCTCTGTGATTTAACTGTAGTCCAGATTTTTTTATTGTTTCCTGCTTGAAAATAGTCTGATTGCAAGGCCATTCTCATGTACTTATGGGAGTCTATAAATCAGCTGCTCTTTTTTTTTTTCTTTCGGTACTGAGAATTGAAGGGCCTTTGCACTGAGCTATATCCCTCCCCATCCCTGCTTAATTTTCGAGATAGGATCTCACTAAATTGCCCAGGAGTCCAAATGTGGGACCCTCCTGTGTCAGACTCCCAGGGTGCTGGGATCACAGATGTGCACACAATACCTGGCTTACACCAGCTCTTTAAAGCTAAGGATATTGTAAAACAGAAACAATTTTTACTTTTTTATTCTGTGACTTTTTGGGGGTAGAGGTGGGAGTGAAAAAGAGGCCATTAAGTTTAAAGCTTTCCACCAAGAACATCATAAATAGTGCCACAACCATTATTTAAAAACTCTTAAAGGTAAAGCAATACTGTAATAACAATTTTAATGAATTTTGAAAGGAGTGCATATTGGGTTCTTTCATTCCTTCTATTAATGTAAAATAACACTGAAAACTACTAATCAGACATGGTGGTGCACATCTGTGATCCCAGCTCTCAGAGAGGCTGAGGCAGGAAGATTGCACATTCAAGATGCTTTCTCAAAGAAATAAAAAAGGTCTGATGATGTAGGTCAGTGTGATTTCACTGGGTTCTATCCCCAGTACCACAAAAATAAAAGCCAACAAACCCTCACAAAAAAATTAAAAATTAGATCTTCTGATACATAATAAGCAAATTCATGCAAATAGCGGAAGGCACCTTCTGGAAGATGGAGCTAGCTACCTGGAATAAGGCCATGTGCTGGCTCTTCAGCAGTCAGCAGCAGCAGTCAGCAGGTCTGAGCGATTTTCCATCGAGAAACTGGGCAGCAAACCTGCCAACACACTCTGCTATATTTACTTTTCCTCGGAGCAGGTGGTAAAAGCCCGAGGCACTTCTAAGATGATATAGATTCGCTTCCCTCAGTGAGCCTGCACCTTGAAACCTCTTGCGAGGGCAAAGGTGAGCACTGAGGTGAAGGAGTGTAGGTTCCCTGGTGAGGCTCGAACGAGAGCTCCAGCCTATGGATGCCAGGGACTTCTCGTATTTGCCAGTTGTAAGGGGCTGGAAGGTCATCTAAGGTTTTGGTCCAACCTGCAGTTTGTCTGTAATCTCAGCCCTGAGTTTATGGTGGATAGGCTAATAGTCCTCTGGCTTTGTGGGGAGGGAGAGATGGTTTCGTAGAGTGAAAACAACCAGGAAAGGCTTTCTACCAAAGCGTGCTGAAGTATACAGAAAGGTGGTGAAGGAAGGTAGAGGTTAAAGAAAAGTGAAAGAGGAAAAGAAGTGAATGAGATCAAAGCCCTGGCTATTTTAGGAACATATGTTCGTGGGGAATCCAAGAGAATGAGGACGTGCTCCTTAGACGTTCACGGCTCCCACGGATGAGGTCAGCCGTGGCTGCTGCGGGACAGAATGTGATCAGGAGAGAAGTGAAACAATGATCCTGAGCTCCCCTCTCAGCCTCTGCTTGTGTGTCCAAGCCTGGGTTCCCTCCCTCCAGACCTCTCCTCTTTCTTTCCCTCCCTCGCTTTCCTTCTTTCTTCCCTTTCTATCCAAATTCACTCCTTCCAGAAATTCCCCAAGGGGTCAAACATAGCGGTACCAATTAGAAATTCTATTATACTGAGGTTTTACCTTTAATTTGCTTTGGCTGGGAGTAGAAGGAGCAAGGGCTGGACTTTTGTCTTTTCAAAACTTAAAAAAATTCTGACCTTGATACAATTTATAATCCTATAAATGATACTGATTAAGATCTCCTAGGCCCTAAGCTACTTTCTGGAGGTAACTCTGTGTCAGAGCTGCTGGAGTGAACTTGTTTGTAACTTAGCAAAGTATGTTAACACTTGCACCAGGGGGCTTTCATTTTTAAACGGGGCTTCCCTAGGAATTAGAAATACCTGCACTATGTAATAGTCTCAGATATGTTAAACTTTAAACACTGTTCACTGCCTTCCTAACTATAGTGTTTTGGGGTAGGATTAGGGAAAGGGGGAAGAAACTTCCCCATACTTATGTCTTTTCTGTGAAATCAAACAGGAGGTCTAGCTCCTTACTATTTAAAGTCATGGTAGATTTTTGAATTCACAATAAAGAAGTCCTGAGTAGTTAAAAAGCCAAAACCAATTAATGTATAAACTACAAGGGACATAGTTGTTTCAGCAGCTTACTCAGAGATTTATTGTTTAAAAATCTTTTTATTATTTCTTCCACAAATAGAAATTTAGCACTGTGTCCAAGCTGGACAGTGGAGAATATTCCTGTGAAGCCCATAACTCTGTTGGATCTCGCAGGTGCTCCCAGAAACGAATGCAAGTAGGTAAGCATGAAATATTGGAAGAACAAATGGTTTTCAGTTACAGTTTGCATGTATTTGGAAGAAATAATGGAAAGGAAAAGCTAGAATAATTTGAAGGCTAAATAGAAACAATATTTAAAATTAACTCAGTAGTGCAGAGAACCAGCTATTATGCTTTTAATCCATTTTCAAATCAACCTAAGAATATTTAGCATTATATTCAACACATTTTTAAATTTTTAAATTTGGGATTTTTACAATATGTGCTTCTGAGTAATCTTTCCAACAAAAGCTAAGTGTCTTGGTGTGTAAACTGCTGCGGGTCCAGGAATCTGAGTGGAAGTTTCATTTACATCTCTGCTGTTTTCTAGCTATATCCCCTTAGGCAAGCTGTTCAATTTCTATGTCTCAGTCCCCCCAAACTGAAAGTCATAATACACCTCCTTCATAGAATTGACACGAAGATTAAAATAATCAATATTTGCAAGTGTCAGAACTGCACCATTACCTTTGTGAGCGTTATGTACCTGTTAGCTATTTTAGTTATTGTTATCCAGCTGTTGCTGGAAGCTTTTTCAATACTCTGAAATAGTAAGCCTGTACTTATCCTGCAGTAAGCTTTCAAAAAGACATGTGGAATAGTTATTGATCTAGGTGGGTATAAAACATATCTGCCATGTATTACAGTTATGTCACAAAAGAAGCTTCTTAAAATCCAATAAAATCACTGTTTAAGAGGATTTTCTAGGTTTTTTCCATTTCAGAGCATATTATTTCTTTTCAAAATTCATTTTTAATGATCTGATTTAATTGTTCATTTTGGTGAAAGCCATGCATTTTGAATGTAGTTGTGGAATGAGACAGATGTGCCAGAAACGGTACCTGAGGAGCTAATGTCACAGTGCCCGAAACAGAATACTGAGGATGCTCTTCATTTCGGGAGTTTGTCCTCAGCTTTGCGGGCTCAGAACTTCATTTTTTCAGTGCACTTAGAGGAGCACAGATATAGGTGTACAAATATGCAAACTATTTCTATCTTAAGATTATTTAAAAATACAATTGCATTAAACTTCAAGATATCCTCAGTATGAGGTATTCAATATATATTCAAATTTCCATGAAGTTTGAGTTTCTGGTCTTTTCTTTAAAAAATTTGGGTATTCAGGACAATTGATACTGTCCACCAAACCTGCTGACATTTATACTCAAATAGAAGCAGTTAATTAAATAACCAAAAAGTATTCCTCTTAAATCTAAGTATTAAAGCAGAAACAATCTGCTGGAAGACAAAATAGGTAAAACTCTTGAAAACATAAGCTTAGGTACAACTTTCTGAACAGAACCTCAGTTGCACAAAAAATAATACCAAGAATCAACAAATGGGGTCACATCATATTAAAAAAACCTTTTTTTTTTGCATAGCAAAGGGAAACACCAACAAAATGAAGAGATAACCTATAGAACAGGAAAAAAAAATTTAGTAGCTACTCCTCAGACAGACACTAATATCTAAAATATATAAATAATTCAAAAAAGACCCCCTCAAATGTAAAGATGTAAAATTTTAAAAATGGGCATCTGAAATTAAGAAACACTTCTCAGAATAAGAAATACAAATGGCCAATGAATACATGAAAAATGTTCAACATCACTGGCCATTCAAGAAATGCAAATTAAAACAGCATTGAAATTCCATCTCAATCCACAAAGAATGGCTAACATCAAGAAATCAAACAATGACAAGTGCTGGAGATGGTGTGGGAGCAGGGGGAGGAATGTTTCTTCATTGTTGGTGGGAGTGTAAACTGATTAACCACTAAGGAAATCAGTATGGAGATTCCCAAAATAACTAAAAGTACAAATTTTATTTGATTTAGCTACTCCATTTCTGGGTATTTTTCCCAAAGAAGGTAAATACACTATATCATAAATGCATACCTATGTTTACAACAGCACAATTCATAACAGCTAAATCTTGGAAGCAGCCTATATGTCCCTCAACAGATTAATGGATAATGAAAAGTGGTATTTATACACAGTGGAATACCACTTTGCCATGAAGAAAGATAAACTTGAAACCGGGTGTGATGGCGCACGCCTGTAATCCCAGTACCTGGGAGGCTGAGGCAGGAGGATTGCAGTGAGTTTGAGGCAAGCCTAAATTACAAGAGTTCAAGGCCAGCCTGGAATAGCAAGACTCTGTTTCTAAAAGAAAAACAAACAAACAAATAACTCAAGTCATTTGTAGGAAAATGGATGCACTTTGAGACCATAATGGTAGGTGAAGTAACTTGGACACACAAGCTTAAATATCACATGCTTTTTCTTATATGAGAAGCACAATATATAAACAAAGCGCAAACTAAAAGACAATAGAAAAAAAAAAAGAAAAAAGTTATTGTAGTCAAGCATGGTCAATGTATCTAAAAAATTACCTTGATTTAATATAATTATGCTATGTATTTTATGGTTTTGGCCTGTTAATCTGGATATTAATCTGTATTGTGATAACTAACTTGATAAAGACTTATAAATTAGTGAATCTGATGGTGGCAAAAAATTATTTTAAAAGGTGGATGAGGAGAAGGGGAAAGAGAAAAAACTGAGATGTGTACTAATTCCCCACGGTGAATGCAGTCATTAGGTACTGCAAACATGTACTAATAAAAATTAAATTTAAAAAATCATTTAGTATAGAATCTTGCAATCTCAAAATACTTTGTATAATTGCTTACATTATGGTTTGGGGCTTCCTTTCATGTCAAAATGGACCTCCAGTGAATTGAATAAACTTGTTCCTTACAGCAAATAAACAAACAAACAAACAAAAGCAAAACCAGAATCAAATCAAAACAAAAAAAAATTCCTCTCAGTACTTCTTTCAAATTATCATTTAAAAAATGTATTAGCACATCTGAACATGTATGTCTTAATGAAGTGTTTTTCTAACTTCATTCATTTATTTATATAGTCTTCATGGTTTTCAGCTAACCTTATCCCTCTGTTTTAGTATTTCTGTTTATTTCCCTGTCTGTTTTAATTATTCTGTTAAATTTAAATGCCCATTTTAATTTCATTTTAAGAAATCGTATCTGTGAAGTCATAGTTTTTCATTTTTTTTCCAGTATCAGGGGTCAAACTCAGCACCACTGAGCTAAATCTCCAGCCCTGAGGTCATAGTTTTGATGAACAGTTTCTTTTTTCCTAGTACACCACAATAAACCATACCAAATAAAATGTATAAATTTATATACTTATATTTATAAAATGTATCAGTTTGTTACCCTAGTGAGGCCATGTTAATTTGAACATAACTTCTGTGTATCTACTCTTCCCAAATTAGCTTAAAACTTAAAATGAGTTTAATGTTCATCCATTCACCATTGAACCTAGGTGTTTCATGACCTTGTTTGGAAATTTGCATCTTTTGAAATAAATAAAATTTCATGAATTCGTATTCTTTGTGAATTATCATTGATAACTTGAAACAAAAACTAGAATCTGTTAACTATCCAGAAGACATTCATTTTTTAAATATACTCAATCAAGTATGAGTTTGTGGATTCTACCTTATTATGAGACTCCAGCAGACGTGAATCCTACTTAGCCTTTTAACAGTCCGATTCCTTTCCTTTTAGTTATACCTTCCTTTTATAGCAGCCTTCTTTTAAAATTTTGATTCAAAGAAAGAATAAAAAGTATTTTCATATTGTTACATCATCTCTTCACTGAGGCATGATTGTGTGACTTGCTCAGCATCGTACAGAAAATGGTGAGTGGATCGATGCAAGTTACCTCTAACTATTCCATCTTCCATTCCATCAACGACGGTGGTTTAGCGCTTATGTCAAGACAGCTGTTTGTGAGAATGTGGCTTTAGGGAGGCTTCTTTATAGATGTCAAATTCATTGCAATCTACAGGACAGCTTTTTTTTGAGCAATAACTGTTAGATTAACACAATGTAGATGTCATTTGTAAAAAAAAAAAAATAGACACAGTTTGGTTCTCAGGCGTTTTCGTTCAGTGATGGATTTAATTTTACCCTAGAGTATGATTACTGTGGGGATTTTTGCATCTCTGCTCTTTCTTATCCAAGGAAATAGCAAACATCTCATTGGCTTCTCAATTTCAGTGTCCAAACCACTATGAATTGATTATCTACTGAGCATTTAATTAATTATTGCTTTTTTACTCTAATCAAATTACTCAGTCTTTCAAAAGACTAACCATGTCTTCTACAAAAAAGTAAGTTAATATTTCAGAAGTATCTGAGAAAATTAATCACACACTTAGTGTTAGGAAAGAGTTTTAAGGCCAAAACTTTCTATGGTAAGCAGACATAAACAATACTTTTTAGAAGGTCTTTTCCAAAAACCTGGATATGGTAGTAAATGACTACAACCCAAGGTACTCAAGAGGTTAAGACAGGAGAATCATTGCAAGTTCAAGGCTACTCTGAGCAAAGTAGTGAAAACTGTTCGCAAAATAAAAACTTTTAAAAATGAGCCAGGGACATAACTCAGTGCTCCTTGGGTTCAATCCCCAGTTTTACAAAAAAATAAAGAAAAAGTCTCTCCCAAAACATACACTGTAAAATCATACACTGTAAAATGCTTACAGTTACTATAGAGAAAAACATTAATATTTTCTACAAATTATTTAATAATGATTAATTAATATTTGCTTTCAAAAATGGGAACCTAATTCAGGTGTGGTTGTGTATGCCTGTAGTCCCAGCCACACTGACTGAGGCAGGAGGACCCAAACTTTGAGATTAGCCTGGGCAACTTAGAACATATCTCAAAATAAACACATTTTAAAAATTTTTATTAAAAGGCCTGGGAATGTGACTCAGTGCTCACCTACACGCATAAAGCTTTAGGTACCACAGAACATATATACATACATACATAGACCCCAAGGCTAGGGGTGTGGCTCAGTAAGGCCATGAGTTCAATCCCTAGCACCTCGGGAGGGGGAACACTATGACAAATGGCTCCTTTGATATATGTGTCTAAATGGAAACAGAGTGTCTCATGACATCTGTGTACAAAGTGGAGAAATGTGACCCCAAATAATGTTTAGATGGAATTACATATAGTTGAGTCACACCTTCAGGGCATGCTCACAGGTGGTGTCATGAATAGAGGTGCCTAGCAGGCTGTCACATAATTCTTTCCTTAGAAAAATCATGTTCCTCATTTTATTAATAACTTCAATGAAGGTATCTTCGATACAGTTCCCAATCTGCAGAAGTATTCAGCCTGGTAAGTTAATATTCAAATTATTGAGCAATAGAATAAATCCAAGAAAAATATCTCATAGGTTGATAACATGATAGTCATTCCAAACTTGGATCCAAAAACTCTAGATGTATTAGATTAAAGGAGAAATGACTTAATAGCAACAGGCAAAAGCTTGGTTAATTAAATGAAATTCATTTAAAACTCAGTGGGGTTATAGTTTAGTATCACACACACACACACACACACACACACACACACAAACATAACCTATATAAATTCAAGAAGAAAGACATTTCTGACATTTAGTTTTATATAATAATAGTGGCATATTCTTTATTTGAGGCTGTGCCCATTATGGAACTGACACAGATAATAATGTAGAATAATTTTAAGTAAAATCTGGGATAGAAGGAAGGTGATAGAATACTTGAACTCATTGAATTTCAAAGACATCTTCCAACCTGATATTTAATTCTGTGAATTATTACATCTTCAAAAAAATGCAAGAGAATACTATATATTTTAGTTCTGCGTCACAGAACTTTTAAAAAGATTCTTACAAACCTTTTAAAATCTAAGACTCTTGCTCAGCTTAGTTCTGTTAATATTTTCAGTCAATTTTACGCCATGTCTTGCAATTAAATTGGTTGAGCAGGCTGCCAAAGCACATAACTATACTTTTTAGTATAGCTACAAAGGGGAGCCCTTTTGAGCAATTTCTGTTTAATGACAGGATCTGTCCTATTAGATGTGAATTTATGCACAATTTATCTCACTTTACAGATGACCTCAGCCTAAGTGGCATCATAGCAGCTGTAGTAGTTGTGGTCTTGGTGATCTGTGCTTGTGGCCTTGGTGTATGCTATGCTCAGAGAAAAGGCTACTTTTCAAGTAAGTGAATTTCATCTTTCTTTGATACACAGTTTCCTGTAGATATAGTTTTCTTGTAAGACACCATTTCTCTAAGAACTTCTAATAAGCTCTGGAGTGAAATTTTCACTGGTTTCTCCTCTATAGATAATGTCCAAGGTGACATGCAAGTAGCATTCAAAACATCTAGGTAGCCATAGAGAAAAAGAAGCTGTCTTAGTTGCAGAATTCCAAGCAGCACCGTAAGATATGTAAAAGCCAGATATTCAATGTAGACAGATATTTATAGCATAATGACATATATATAGATATATCTATATCTATCTATCTATCTATATATATATAGATAGATAGATATAGATATATCTATATCTATCTATCTATCTATATATATATAGATAGATAGATATAGATATATATATAAAGATCCTTTAAAGTTACAGATTGTTTATTCCCTTCCTCTCTCTATTCCTTTCCTTCATTTTTGTTTTAGAGGTGGTGGGGTCAAATCTGGGGCCATACACTCAGGACAAGGGCTCTACCATTGAGCTACATCCCCAGCCCAGGAATTCTATGTCTATCTTTGAAATCTACCAGGGAAATGTTTTGTTAGTGAAGAGTGGAAGGCTGAATGTCCAGTTTAGCATAACTATAGAACAGAATTGTTTAATCACAACCAGAAAGCAGCCAGGTATGGTAGTGCCCTTCTGTAATCCCAGTGCTCTGGGAGGCTAAGGCAGGAGGATCAAAAGTTGGAGATCAGCTTGGGCAAGTTGGTGATGTAGCAAGGACCTGTCTCAAAAATAAGATTTAAAAAACATTAAGAATGATTGAGGCGGACTCAGTGCAAATGCCCTGGATTCAATCCCCAGTACTAATAAATAATTTTATTAGAAATACTTCTGAACAAGGGTTTTAGTTCTTGAAGTTTAGGCCTTTCATAATGTAAAACTCCACCTTATGATGTAATAGGTTTGATGTGAATCTTGGAATTTTAAAATATTTCATCCTTTTAATGCATTTTTTTCATTTCTGGTTTTAAAATATTTTGAGAGCATAAAGCCACAGAACTCCATTAAGTCCAGTGGCAATAATGTATAAAGTTGAGTTTTAAAATGGAGCAATAAATAAATTTATAGCATAAACATTTTTAAACTTGTTTTATAATGGGTATTAATTTTAGAATTTAGAATTAAAAATATAACAAAATAAAATGAATTTAAAAGGTGTTTCTGATATCTATAAAAAAATCTTACATGTCATAAAATGTTTCCATGAACATAGATTCGAGAAGATTCACTATGACAGGAAAGGAAAGAAGGGAAAGGAATAAATACAAGAAAAGGAAAAAGTGGAAATAAAGCCTTTCTAAGTAGGGAGGGGTGGAGGGATTGAAGGGAGGGGAATGGGGAAAAAAATAAGAACCAAGATATATCATGTAAAGGTACAAATTCCCAATGATGAATGCCTTGAAACTGTATACCTAAAATGTACCGATAAACATAATGAATAATAAAAAAATGAATAACCGTCCTGTGAATTGCAGCGAAAGTGTTATCCTGGCAGCGATGGCAAACCCGTGGTACTCGTGCCACAGCTGGCCACTTCTTATCACTGAAACCTGTGAAAGGTTCGCCATCCTGGGTATACAGTATAGATTGTATTCAGTCCAACACAATGTAATTTGATGAATGGAATCTAGATGTGTCCCCCTGCTGGTCACCAGTGAAAGTACAGACAAATAAGGTTATACTCCAAAATTTTTGTCATTCTTATCTATAGTTGCAAAGAATACCATCTATTTTTAATGAAGGATAAATATATTCTTCTTAAAATACTGAATTAAAGAGATGACGCATCAGATGTTAGCAATTCACTATGAATACTGCTCTCCTCTTCGTCTGGCAGAAAATCTATCCAAGAAAACCGTATTTTTGGACTTTGGTTTGGGACAGGGGTTGGCAAACAAAAACCAGTGGTCCAAATCCAATGTCCTACCTAATTTTATGTGGGTCATAAGCTAAGAATGGTTTGTTCACAAGAGAAATTGTAGTTATTGATGATAGGGAATACTAATTTTGAGCTCCAATTAAAGGAAGTGCTAGCTCATGAAAAAGAGTTCCATTCTTCTAATTAGTAGGCTTGCATTATAAGTGTTCGATTATATTTTGAATTTTATCAATAAAATTTTATAAATTTGTTTTGTCTCTGGATAAGTACTCATGTAGTATCCTTGATTTTGCCTCTGGGTCCACAAAACTGAAAATACTTGCTGTACAGCTTTTTATTAAAAAAAAATGTTTGAGGGCCGGGAATTTAGCTCAGCAGTTCGGTGGCCTGCCTTGCAAGTGCAAGGACCCGAGTTCAATCCCCAGTATCCCCCGCAAAAAAGTTTGCCAACCCTTCATTTAGAAGATATGGATGTCAGCAAGTAAGGTTGAATATTAAAGACACTAAGCCATGGGCCAGGAATTTAGCTTAGTGGCACTGTGCCTGCCTTGCAAATGCAAGGTCCTGAGTTTGATCCCAGGTACCAGAAAGAAATGAAAGAAAGGCGGGGGGATTAAGCCAAAGTTCATTTCTAAATGAATGTGTCACATATTAATTCTTGCAATAATGATATGTACTTTTTTTTGTAGAAGAAACCTCCTATAAGTAAGTATACACTCTTAAAATGCATGCCATTTTCACAGTATCAACTAATATTCTGATAACTGCCCATTTAAAGTCAAAAGTAGGGTATAAGGTTTTAATGCAGATTTAATACTGTGGGAAGTTCTTAGTTCATGAAATCCCACCTAAGGCCTCAGGCCTCAGGCCTAGGTGTAAAAGATGATTAACTAGAGAAGAAACATGTTCACCGTTTCCACTTTTTGAGTCTTTCCATAGTTCTCCTTTTATTAATTATCTATTAATTGTATTTATATAGACTAAAAATTTGAAAAAATTTTGTCATTTTTTACATTTAATTGAATGATGATTTTGTGCCCAACACTATTGGTGATACAGCAGTGAACACAACAGGCAAAAAAAAAAAAAAAAAAAATCACAGAATGCTGCTTTATACAACTTACAGTCTAGTCGAGAAAGTCAGAAAATACACAAATATGTACACTATAGAGATGTCAGATTGTGTGCTCTGGAGACCAGCTACTCAGAAAGCTGAGGCAGGAGGATTTCAAGTTCAAGGTCAGCCTTGGCAACATAGTGAGACAACTCCACCATCACCACCACCACTGAGGCGGGGGAGGGAGAGAAGGAGGAGGAGGGGGGAGAGAGGGAGAGAGGGAGGGAGAGAGACGGAGGGCAAGAGGGGAGAGGAGAAAAAAGGAGAGGTGGGGAGAGGGAGAGGATGGAGGGTGAAGAGGAGTGCTATGGAAGAAAACCAAGCAAGAGCAAGAAAATGCAAAGTTGGAGTGGAGATTATCTTTTTTGTTTGTTTGTTTGTTTTTTTGAGACAGGGTCTCACTATGAAGTCGAGACTGACCCTGACCTGGAACTCACTATGTAGTCTAGGCTGGTCTCGAACTCACAGCGATCCTCCTGCCTCAGCCTCCTGAGTGCCAGGATTACAGGCATAGGCCACCATGCTTGGCCGGCATCAGACACTTTCTCATCTAAATCCTTTGAAGACTTAGCTGTCATTGACTTCCTGTTCATATATTCCTGCCCCAACACTGGTCTCTCAGTCTCCTAATATCCCGGTACAAAAGCAGGGTTAAGTTTCAGTTATCAAGATTAACAGTAGCAAAAGAGATGCATTGAGAAGGGCAGGGCAGCCTAGATATGTAGCCACCACTTCACCTCAACCCAGCCCTAGACCCTGGGCACTTGGGAGACTTCCACTTTTATTGAGTACTTTGGTACCTGGAGGGTTTTGAGCAGAGGAAAGTTATCTCACATAAGTGGTGAAGGCTTATTCTTCCTATTAATACCTTTGTCAAACTAGGAAGAGCGTCTTTATTCCTCGACACCTTTCCTCCCATTTCTTAAATCTATAGCCTTCAAAATTTGTTCAACTTCTGCTGCAATTGTAGTTACCACGTGAGCCCTTCCATGGACCAAAATGAATTGTGCAATTCTAATTAAACTTTCAAAACTTTTAATGCTGCCTGGCCTAGTGGTGCTGCCCATAGTCCCAGCACTCAGAAGGCTGAGGCGGGAGTATCACTGTGAGTTCAAGAACATCCTGGACTACATAGAGAGTTCAAGGCCAGCCTGAACTCTACAAAGTGAGAGCCTATCTCAAAAACCAAGACGAAATATTTAATGTTAGTATGTTCTAAGTTAGTGAGTCTCTGGTTTGTGTATTCCACAAAAATTGTTAGTATATTAGCTATAGGCTACATTTAGGGGCACAAGTCTTCATATACCCTAATACAAACCTTTGATTTACAAACTCAATAGTTCCCAAAGGCTGGTGTAACTCAAGTTGGTTGTAAATCAATACAGCTGAGATCTGGATGTTTACCTGGGTACATGCTCTACATAAGTGGCAGATAAATCTTCCCTTAACCTAATTAACCCAAGATTTTCATATGTCAGGCCAGTTGTAACTTGAGGGTCCACTGTACTATATATACTCTTGCAAGACCTTCTCTGTGAATAATGTCTATAGATCTAAGAGATTCAGTTAGGATTGTTGGCTTTTTTTTTTAATTGGGTAAGATAAATATACATCTTACAGCTGAGATATGAAATACCCTAAATGAGAGTATGTGTTTCAGAATTGGAGGTGACAATGTAGTAAACACTGTCTTTTGTATTCCACAAACAGGAAAGGGAGCGCTACATCAAAATCCACTACAGTGACTGAAAATGTGAGTATTACTAAAGCAGGTTTATAGAATAGATATGTTTAGGCATTGAGGCAGGACCACGACACAATTATAGGGATTATAGCTTTTCACTTTTAATAAACTTTTTTTCTCATTGAGTTTATTGGTACATTTTAGGTATACAGTACAGTTACATTCATCATTGGGACCTTGTATCTTTACATGACAGGTCTTGGTTCTCAATTATTTTCCCTTATCCCTGCTGTCCCTTCACCCGCTCCTCCCTTCCCTATTTACAAATACTTTCTTTCCATTTTTTCATGATTTTTTTTCCTTTTCCCTTATTACCTTTCCCCTACCCCTCCCATTTCCTCTACACTTAATAAACTTTAGTGTCAACTACTAGTATTCAGAAGGATCTAAATAAATGTTAGCTTCCTTTCCCTGCTTGGGATGCCATGATAAAGGTACTGTATCTGGCATTTGTAGAACAATTACAGGAAGTGATCTTTATACCGTTTTTCTCTCGTGGTAGATTCTATTACTAGTCTACCTCTTTAATATCACTGGGACTGGCATTTTTAGCTTGATTTGATAGATGAGGAAGTTAAGCCACAAATTCTCACAGGATAACAATAATGCAGCCAGAACCAGCCAGGTACCTTGCTTCCTGGGAATGACCAAGGATATTTGTTTCCAGCAACTCTGTGGTTGTAAGACTTACCTTTGGTTATTCAAAGCACTTAGAGATTTTAGGAATATGAAATATCCTCTACTGCTGCTCAAAAGAATATTACAGAAATGCTTGACAAGAAATAGTCATGTGACTCAGATGGTTTAGAGAAAATAATTTAGATATTTGCATCTTTATGAATGTTTATATTTGTAAATGCTACAGGGAAGCAGTAAATAACATCATTGCTTAGGGGTTTCTTTTGGTGGGTATTCAACCTTCTGAATTATTTTTTCAGGAATATGATGAGAGAACTTTCCAGTGTTGTAGAGGCCTAAATCCTTTCTTGAGAAATGAAGTTGTTTCCATAGTGCTTTAGAGCAGAGTCACAGATTTCCCCTCAGGAGACCATGATACCTTGGCAGACATTGGTATTTTTGATACTGGAATGATTCTAATGAACTAGTAGTTAACAGGCATCCATTGCTCCATGAAGTTTTTTGTAAAAATCTGGTTGTTAAAACCTATCAGGGAAGCCACCAAGTTCTGTAGTTTACTATACTGACAGCATCCTGTTCTTTAGCTGGGGAACAGGCAATGTGTTACTACTGTCATATTTATTCTTATAATTTATAAAGAATCCTTATGCATGGAATAAAATCCCACCCAACAAATAGAGGCCTTTTTCTTTCAACTGACTCATCAGCTGAGAGCTACGTCTCCTTCAGTTCTGTTCTCCCTACGGCAGAGCTTGTCACCCTAACTTTGAGCCACACTGCTGTTGGGGGCTGTCTCATGCATTAGCATATCCCTACCAAATAGGACTGCCCTTGCTCCAACTTCCTGCCGGCCTTTTTACTCTCAACTTAATTTCAAGCATCATGTCTTCCAGTTTTCACCTATTTAATTGCCAATAAAACGTATTTAATTAAATACATACTGGTTTGTACTTCTAAGATTTTTATAGTGGATATATTTTAATATAATGTGTTTCTTTAAATAGGAATTAGTATTTGTTTTTTCAACTTGTTTTTTCTTTCTTTACCTAGGATTTCAAGCACACAAAATCCTTTATAATTTAAGAATTCCACTTTTGAGATACCCCAAAACTACAGTTGTTACCCAAGTTATTAAAGTGTTATAAATTTCTGTGTGGTCTTACATTTGGGAAGATGTACATGAGGAAGTGAACTGGTATTTTACTATAATTTTTATGACCTTTAACTCACCAGAAATTATTTTAAGCAAACGGTTCTGTCTTTACCTACAATACAATCTTGACCTCTTGTATCTGGACTCAAGAAAAATAGCCAAAATACTTTGTAGTCTGTGAAATATTAACAAACGTCCTAAGTTCTGGAAGAAGCACTGTTGCATACTGACTGCGAAGTTAACCCAGGAATTATGAACTGAACATATCCTCTGTGCAAGAGTCTGATTTAGGAGGATTCAGAAAACACTGAAAGCTCCCTCATTCCTACCAGAATCCTCTCCCTGAATAATCCTTACTCCATTGCTCATTTGTCTCTCAAGTTTCCACACAAGGGGGGCAGTGGGGGCTGGATCTGCACTTTGTGTTTGCTTTTATTTCTGAGAACCAGGAAGAAGACGAAGAGAAATAGCTACTGACTGGAGCTCACTCACACCTACTGTGTCTCACGGACGCCCTAACTTTGAGAGTCACACATAAACCCTTACTCGCCTCCCCACTTTCCCCAGACCTCTCTGAAGGGCTCAGTGAGCGTGACATCAGGACAAGTCCTAGAGCCCGCCCAGCTTTTCAGGTACCTTTGCCTGAGTGCTGACTTCACAATTCTGTCCTTAAACACCAGTCAGTGAAATTCTGTGCTGGGCTGTCCTTCATGGATATGGTCGGGGGTTTCCAATCCTTATGGCAAGGAATATGGAGGAGAGAGAGGGCTGTCTGGTGAACAAAATATGACTGAATGTTCTGACTTCCTACATCTGACAACCTGCTTCATACAAAAGAGGCACATGAGAAACTATGCCTGAGAAAAAAAAGGTCTAATCACGTGTTTTCTGAATTAAAAAGGCCTCTGGTTAATGTTACAACACAGAAATTTCAATGGTTCATTTAATAATAAAAGCAGTAAGGCTGGGGGTTTTGTTTTGTTTTTTGAAACAGGGTCTTGCTATGTAGAGTCCAGACTAGCCTTGAACTGCGTAGCCCAGGCTGCCCTTGAACTCATGGTGATCCCCCTGCCTCCAGGCATGCCCCACCACACCCAGCTAAAACTAAGTTTTAAAAGCATTAGCTTTTAAAACTGATTTTTTACTCATTAAAAACAAAATTCCAGCCGGGCTTGGTGGTGAACACCTGTAATCCCAGCACTCGGGAGGCTGAGGCTGGAGGATCACTGAGTTTCAGACCAGCCTAGGCTATATAGTGAGTTCCAGGGCAGCCTCAACTACATAGTGAGACCTTGTCTCAAAAGAAGAAAAAAAAAAAACCTAAGCTACTCTGTTCTGGACAAATCTGGATGAAAGGACACTTACTACCTTTGACAACAAGAACAGTTAATTTGCTTTCAGAGGAATCTGCTTTTTTACCTAGTAGTCAAAGCAGATCCCCAGGATTCTCAAAACAAACTCAACGCCTGGGCACCGTACCAGGTCCCTAGGAAGACCCATTTGTCACCCTGTTCCCCTTTCACTTGTATGTGGCATTCACTGTTTCTCAACAACTCCTCCTGGAAGTCTGGCTTCTGTAACGTGGCTCCATCCCAAAAGTCAAATTATCACTCTATTGGTCATAGATTGGCAGACATTTTCTGTAAAGAGCAACATACTAAGTATTTTAAGCCATGTGGTTCCTGTAACTACTTGAGTGTCACTGCAAAAGGAGCCACAGATAACAAGAAAGCAAATGTACATGTTTTCCAATAAAACTTTATTTACCAAAACAGGCAAAGTCAGGATTTAGCTCACAGGCAGTTTCTTTAGCCCTTTCGGCAAATGATGTAAAAAAAAAAAACAACTTATCTATAAGCTTTTGTAAAAATCTGGTTAAATGTTGCCTATGGTTTAAGTGACAGATTTTGCTTTGATTTGAGGAATATTTCCTTATGACTCTCAAGGATGCCTCTTCTGGCCATACATATCCACAAGAGCAGCTGCCTCAATTTAAATTATAGACATCTGCTGTAAGAGGAAAATGATGTGGTGCCTTAATTTCACTAATACCTTCTCTAAGACATCAGAATCTAGAGGATATATTTTATGCAGTCTAAACATCTAACAGTTTTTGTGCCAACTATGTGTCTTACATCATCTCAAAATATTTCTTACACCCAAGTTAAAAAATCATTGCGTAAAGAATGCTTTCTTTTACACAAAGGACAAAGTATGAACACTGATGTTTTAATTATTAAAAGTACATCTGTGAGTCACCAGTATCCAAATATGTTTCCATTTGCTCTTTTATTTGAAGCACTTGAATAACAACTGGTAAAAATCCCATTGTAATTCTTTAAGCATTCTGATTTCATTTTCCTGCAGTGAAATTGTGTTGTATAAAGATTAAGGCTCAAGAATCTTTAATAACAAGTTTTGTTTTAGTATTGTTGGTGTTTGTAAGCAGATTCAATTTATTTTTAGTTGGGATTTTAACCTAACTAAATCTGGAATGATTGTTTTTCAATACAACTTTGCAAAGAACTTCCTTCATCCAACAGCTGGCTTTGTTTGATTAAAATCTACAATAATAAAAATAGCTGAACTGGTTAAACCTTTTAGATCCATTTAATAGTACAGAGGAAGAGTCACTCACCTATTGTCGTTCATTAAACCCAGGAAACTACACCCTTACTATCTGTAGGTACAAGGCTAGCTCTTCAGCTGTTTAAGATTAGAATCTCATCACATCTCAGTCTGGAGACCTGCCAACTTCTCAAGTGCTGCCAGAGAGAGAAAGAGTGAGAGACAGAGAAAGAGGGAGAGGGAAACAAAGGAAAACAGGAGGAAGGGGAGGAGGAGGGAGGGGCAGACAGACAAAAAGCTGTTTTAAACTACACGCTCAGCCCCTAGTTTCATCTTATAAAAGTGCCTTTATAGAGCCCTCCTCCCTCATTATCCCAAAACTTCTTTAATCCAGACAGAACTATAAAACTACACTTGAGCTTCTGAGAAAGCTATGACAAAAGTTTATCATTTCTTCCAGCATTGAGGAAGCTAAGGCTAGGGTATCACAGGTTCAAAGCCAGGCTGGACTATATAATGAGCCTATTTCAAAAATACAAAACAAGAAATGTTTAAAGTAAGTAAATATAAATCATTTCAGGGCTCGGGATTTAGCTCAGTGGCACTGTGTGTGTCTTGCAAGTGCAGGGCCCTGAGTTCAATCCCCAGTGAAAGAAAGGAAGAAGGAAGAGAGAGACAGAAAGTCTGTCTTCATATTCTGGGACAGGGTGTAACATCTTTCCACAGCAAATTAGATAATGGTAGCTCACTGTAAGTAGTAAGTCTGTGCTACTGAAACAAGATCTACTGCACATGGTACCCAATTTATTCAATGTCTCCATCTGTTCATTAAAGCCAAACGAAAGGATTTAAAAACAACCCTAAAACAGAGATCAACACAGTCAAGTGTAGGTTCAGCATCAAATAATTTATTTGCAATCGGAATTAAAAGAACATTGGACAGTTCTAAAATGTATGTTTATTCCGATACTTCTCACTAGTTGTGCAATAAATCCATGGCAAACTACCAAATTAATTTTACATTATTTCTTCAGGCTGTAGGTTTATCGATGACTTCAAATTTGGGATCTAAGAGGGAAAAATAGGATTTAACTCATTGATCCTCTGAATTTTTTAGTGAACATGTTTCTAAACATCTACACAGAAATACAATAGCTAAATACTTATTCAACACTTCCTATGAGGAGGCTCTACAAACATGTTTTAACTATAAGTATTATGAGGAAGAAACTCTCCCCACATATCAGATGAAGATCACACAGCTAGTAAGTAATATTGTCAGGATTCAAGGTCAAGCATTTGGACTTCAGAACCCTACCATTCAACCTATATGTTACATAACCTCCTATACTAATGGCAAACATTTATCTGTTATCTATGTACACACTGTGGTCCTAATTTCACATGTAATTGTCATTTAATCCTCTAAATAATCAAAAGAAGTATATTGGCCACTTAAAACAGTTCCCCGTAAGAATCTTATCAGAACCTTACCTTCAAATGTGAAGCTTGGGAATGTGTTCATGTCAGCTTTACCATACATTTGTTTAAGTTTAAAAAGCTCTCTCTCCATATCTTGCTGATACTCTGGACCAGTGTCAACAGGTCCTCCAGATGTCCTGTGGGTAAAGGAGCAAATAAAAACTAATTTCATGCACTAGTTCAAAAAAGCAAAATTACTCTTCACCATGAAATGTCAACAGACCTTTTCAAGGTATTCATGTAGGGAAAAGTAGACTTTCAGAACGTTATTTCTACTTGAATTTCAAGTAGATTATTTTAACATGATGAGGTTTCACATAAATAAACCAACTTTAAACAAATCTCTAACATATAAGGTTTGGTAGTGTCAAAGATACATACTTAAAGAGTTTCTCAGGGTCTAAGTTTAAACTTCCTTTTTTCTTTTTGGAGACAGGGTCTCACTATGTAGTTGAGACTGACCTGGAACTCACTATGTAGCCCAGGCTGGTCTCGAACTCACAGTGATCCTCCTGCCTCAGCCTCCCTAATGCTGGTATTACAGGCACGAACCACCACGCCCAGCCCAGGGTCTGAGTTTAATGAGGTATGCGTGGGACCTGGCATAAAGGGCTGACTATTTGAACGTCAGTGCTCCCATATTGTAAAACTGTAAACCAGCACAAGGCATGAAGCAGTCTAAACTTTAGGTTCCACATGTAAAAAAACAAATATCCTAACTAATAAGGACACTGAGAGAAGAGGTAAAGTATATGGTGAACACTATTATTACTCATGAGGTTATTATATCAGCCTTCAATGTGGCCTTTAAAAGACCTTAGGGCTCAGTGGCACAGCATGTGCTCAGTACACCCCAGCACCAGAAAATAAAAACAGGTTGGCAGTCCCACCATTGAGGAGACTGAGATTTCGAGGCCAACCTGAACTACATAGTGAGACTCCATCTCAAAACACAACAGGCCAGGGATTTAGCTCAATGGTTCTGCCACCTGCCTCGCAATCAAAACACAACAAATTAAAATCTAAAAAACAGTAAGAAAAGAATAATGTAATTTTAAGTCTCTATAACAGAGCTCTGTCAAACAAGTACATCATTTCAAGCCCTCAGAAATTCTGTAATTTAGAAGGGGGAGAAAAATGACATTTACAAAAACTTATGCTGCAAGGAAATTAAACGTAAGCTTTGACGATGTGGCTTAACAGAAAAGTCCAAGTTGAAGGGGAAAGACCACTTTGATGAGCTAATCAGGAACACTTCATTTAGTAAAGGTGGGATTTGAGATAAGCCATGCAATTTGGACCAGATTTGAATTTGAGACTGAAAAAACAAAACCTGGTGGCGGTAAAGCATTGGCTGTTGATAAACCAGCAGAACCCAGATCTTATCTGGATAAGCCTAGGAGTTTGTATTTTATTTGCCAAGCAATAAAATGACAAAATAAAGTTGTGTTTGGGAAAGAAAAATATAGTATCACAGAGCAGCAGCAGGACCAAATAACAATACAGTAATTCATTGAAGAAAATCTGTCATAAACGTTATTTCCTTATCAATGAATATCATAAACCAAAAAAATTTATAAGTGAAAATTCCTTCTTTTCTCACATGCCTAAAATCAAAGCATTGGAGCATTTATGTTAAGAGAATTTCTACCAAAAGAGATGGATCACTGTAATTTATGAATTTTTTTTTTCAGATGGGATCTCACTCTACAGTTCAGGCTAAACTTGAACTCAATATGTAGCTCAGGCTGGCCTCAAACCTTTGGTGATCCCCTGCCTCAGCCTCTCAAGTGTAGTGATTACAGGCATGTGCCACAATGCCGGGCTTAAGAAATTAATTTATATGGGTGTGTGTGTGGTACTTGGGATTGAACCCAGAGCCTTTGCACTGGGCTACATCTCCATTCCTTTTTATATTTTTACTTTGAGACAAGGTCTTGCCAAGTCGTTACATTGTCCAGACTGGGCTTGAATTTGCAATCCTCTTGCCTCAGCCTCCAGATTAGCTGGGATTATAGGCACAAGCCACACCAGTACATGATATTTGTTATAGATCCTTTCTTTTGTCCAACAGAAATTCTTGTAGTGATAGAAATGCTCTACCTAGCCATATCTGCATACTGACTACTAGAAATACGGCTTAGGTGACTGAAGAACTGAATTCTTATTATCCTGTCAATCTAACACTAATGGTCTACTGCATGTTTAAGAGTCTTATTAAGCTAAAAGCAAAGTCATGGAAGCAAATTCTGCAACTTTTTTTTTTTTCTTTTCAACTGGGAAGATGACTCATACACTATCACATTTTCAAGAGGAACAAATAACCCCAAACACTGCCCTCAAAGTCATGATAAAACATTTAACTGTTCTAAGAAGCCTATGCCTTCAGTTAGATGTGTACACTCCGTCCTATGAATTCTGTAAACACTACTGTATCTCTCTTAGGCCCTAAACCATTTACCTTATATTTCCTTATTTAAAGCTTTCTACCCTGATCAGATTTTAAGATTATAAAAATACAGTGTGGCCCACCACAGTTAATAGCCCAGTACTTTGTATAAGGTAGACAATAAATGAAAAGAAAATGGAACTCTAAATTGACATACCCTACTTTTCCTGAGATTTGTAGGATGGACCTAATGATCACAAAGGTGATCATTCATATCCAAAACAGTATGGCTTGGTAATCATCGTATTCCTAGAGTTAATACATGCCATTTAGAATGTTTTGCTCTTATGAAAATAGCCTTAAGGGGAAAAAAATAATACTGTTTATATTTCTTCCCAATCAGGATGTCATAGAAAGGGCATTATGAGAATCAGAATACATTATGTTTTCTCCCTATTAGTTTTTATGGCCTTAGGCTAGTCATGTTCAAGGGCCTTACTTCCCTCAAAAATAACTGCTACATGATTTTCAAGACAATGACTTTGTAGTAAGGATGTGTATTTAAACAGATAACAGATTTAATGGACTTTTCTCTTGGATTCCTTATAAAGAAGTTCGGGACTTCAATCATGAAGCTCACTTACTATCGATACTTATATTTATACTGTGGTTGATTACCCACTTACTGTCGCTTTGACTTGTATTCTCTAATCTTGTCCACGAAGAGCTTCTGTATAGGATCAAGTTCCTTATTAAATGCCACTGCTGTAACACCAATGTTTCTTCGCAAATGGACAGAGACTGCCGACCGAAGAACAGCGGAGAACCTGAAGAGCCTCTGAAGAATCATGGTGATTCTATAGTACTAAAAACAGCATCCGGTTAGCATACTTTCGTAAAACACTTTCAATATATCACAGGGTGGGAATCCAGTTCTAAGTGCTACAGAACTAAATAATACCAGAATTCAGCCTGTACCAGACCTCTTTCCTCTCATTCCCTACTGCAAATCTTCTGCTTCTTTACCTTTGGGCCCTAGAAACTAGGAGCAGTTATGAACATCTCAAGCCTTAAAGAAAGGACAAAATTTGGGATGAGGTTTTTTTTCCATGAACTCAAGTCTTGGACCTGAGGAAACTGTAGAGGGCAGAAAAATCTCCACCCCTAGTAGGAAAAAGAAAACTTGCCCCCAAATCAATGTGCCAGGTTTCTCTGACCCCTCGAAAGAACGAAGGGCAGAGACTGGAGATAGCTGCTTCAGCCAAGAATGATACCTTGGAAGTTTGCATTTCAGAGACACACAGCAGAAGACTGCTTTGCCTCTTCCAAATGCAGGGCTCCAGCCATTCAAGAACACTGTAACTACTAACTCAACGTCCAAAAGAAATGCAGAAGGAAAATACACCAGCTCACCCCAACCCTGCAGAAACGGGGAAGATTAGAAAACACATCTATCTTAGCCATTAAAAAGAACCTTTAAAGGAGATAAAAATCCCTGGTGCTTGGGATATCAAACCCAGGGTTTCACACATGCTAGTAAGTGCTCTACTAGTGATTTGCTACATCCCCAATCCTGAAGGTCAAAAATTTTTAAATAAGGACTTAAAAGACTTCACAGAGCTAAAATACATTATTTATTTATTTATTTATTTTTGAGACAGGGTTTCACTTTGTAGTTCAGGCTGGCCCTGAACTAGCTATTTAGCCCCAGGCTGGCCTTGAACTCTCAGCAACCCTCCTGTCTCAGCCTCCCAAGTGCTGGGATTATAGATATGGTCCACCACACCCATAAAAATACTCTATTTTCTAATTTACAAAATGTCAATAAAACATAGATAAATCAAAAGGGGAAGATCTCTGTTAAGACCTGATTCAGTGATTTAAAGATCAAAGGTAAAAATATTCCAAAATACAACAAACATATGAAAATAGGAATTCAAAAAAGTAGATGAGGCCATAAATAATTACTAGTAGAAAATATTCCTCAGCCAAAGACTTAGTCTATAAATTAAAAGGGCTTATTCAACCCTATACTGAATGGCAATAAAAGATTTACAACTCAATATAGCTGTTAATACTGTTTTGTTTTTTTTCCTTTGTGTTTCTTTTTCAATTAGGGTCTCATTATGTTGCCCAAGTTGGCTTCCAAGTCCCAGGCTCAAGTGATAGCTGTGCCTCAGCTTCTCAAGTGGCTGGCATTCCAGGCATGAACCACTGCACTCAAGTGTAGCATGGGAGCATTTCTGAACCTTAAAGTCAGAACCAGATATGTTAACATGTTTCCCACGTCCCTTCCCAAATTACCATCAAGATCAACACACCAGCCTCCACTTCTATTAAGTTATTAGAATGGACCAGGGGAAGTATACAAACTATTACTGTTCTATAGTAATAGAGAAGAAATTGGGAATAAGTATTTAGAAACTTTTATGGCAATTCAACAAAGTAGTTTTTGCTTTGAACTTAATAAAAAATGAAAATTTTTATTATGTGTGCCTGGTTTATTTTTTTCCCTTCACTTTTCTGGTAATTCACTTTTATTATATTCTTCAAAAGTATCCACAGAGAAGGGTAAGACTGGCCTTCTACCACTGTGAGTTTAGGAAGCACCACCTATAAAACAGTATAGTTCCATAATGATTCTCCAACAGTGGAGAGGATGGAAGAGGAAGTTACCTCTCAGCAAACATTTGGCAGCGTCTGAAAAATGTTTGGTTGTCCTAATTAGGTTGAGTGCTACTGGCCTCTAGTGGGCAGAGGCCAGGGATGCAACTAAGAAATACCCCACCCCCCAATTGTCCAAAGAGTCACAAACCCTGGAATAATCTAACACAAACTAGAAAGGAAACCAATCAACAAGAGATCCTCCACTGGCCAAGAAGAAAGCAACCGCTGGAAGAAATTACAGAATTCATGTATCCCTCGTACCCTCTATCAGAGAGAAATACTTGAGAAAAGATCACAAGAAAACAACAAACGACCTTATGAGGTGTCACTACCATTTCTTTTTTCCCTCCTTTTGGTTTGTTGAGACAGTCTCACTACGCAGCTCAGGTTGGCCTTGAACTCACTGTGTGTGGCCAAGGCTGGCCTCAAACATTCAGTGACCCTCCTGACTCAACCTCCCAAATGCTGGGATTACGGGCTTACAGGCTTGTGTCACCACAACCAGCTTACCATTTCGATTTTTAAACATAGAGAAACTCAGGCTTAGAGGTTTAATACCTAGCCCAAGATCACATAGTAGAATCTGACAACACAAATACATAAAAATATTGCCCAACTAAATGTTCCAGCAAATTAAGGACATGCTTAACACCCAGCAGTACGGCAACCTCACATTGTTTCAGCGCTGAATATAACCCCCTTGCACTATTTTACAGATAATAAAATTATGTCTCAGAAAGGTCATCAAATTGCCCACATACCCAAAGTTAATTTGCTGTAAAGTTGATTGCAGAGATTATGCTATTCCTACTATAACTTAGGTAAAGTCCATTTTTGGTTTTCAATTATCCACCACCTAAATACTAAGGATTTACCCAAACAGATCTCTACTTTGGCCTTTTTCCTCAACCCTTTCTTTCCCCCAACAACTCTCTTATCTAAATTCTACAAACTCAACCACACAACAAACACATAATCTCTTATCAAAATTTGTTGCTTCTGTATTACCTTTCATTTTGTGTGTGATTTATACACTATCAGCAGAAGACACATCAGCACACAAATAGTGTAAAAGGCCATCTGTGACAAATTCTCTATTCAAATACAATCAGGTTCTAGGAAAGACTTTGATAGGAATGTGACAAAAAAAAAAAACTAGTTAAGACAGCAGCAAGGACAGAGACCTTATGGTGGCACACAGCACGGTTCTATTTGCTGGCTCCTCGGAACACGACCCTAAGCTTAACCACAGAACTGCCGAAGTCTGAGCACACGATCATCTCTATGTGGGATGCAAACTGCCCTGCTCGCTCTTAAGACCCACGACTTCCCCCGACCCCCGCACTGCTCCAAAGATGCCCCGAGTGTCCGGGCGGGGTAGGCCTGACCTTGGGCTGCCCCAGGCGGGCTGCAAGCCACGACCCCTCGACCTCCCTGCCTCCCTGTTTGCCCACACAGAGTGTTGTATTCATCGCATCTACGACAAATTTCAAGGCCCCGGAAGCGCCGGCCAGCTATGACCCCGGGACAGAGCGTGAAGGTGCCAAGGACACTGGGCCGCTCAGTCTTCCTAGTAGGGCAGGGGTGAGAGGCAGCCTAAACCCTGTGAGGAAAACCAGAATCGCAGTCCCAAGAGGCCACGCTGGCCTCAACACCCTCCCAGTCACCTTGCACTCAGTCCAGAGCTCCCAGAGCCACCGCCGCCGGTACCGTTCCACTTCCGGCCCTGGCTCCGCCCCACACGCAATGCATTATGGGCCACCGTTTCGGTGGTTCGACGCTTACCGGACAGGAAGCGTCTCGGAGACTGTCTGCGACCGGACAGTTCTAGGTGAGACAGAAGGCAAAGAGAAGGAGGAAGTGGAGGGTAAGTGCTTCCGGGTCCCCTGGCAAAGATTCCTCCATCTTTCCTTTGCCTAATTTGACTCACTCTTTCCTCTTGAACACTGTGCTCTGTACGCATGCGCACGTTGGATTTTCCCCTCGTTCAAGCTCCCCTGAGATTCAGTGTCCGGTTTCTTGGCGATGTTGAGTGTATACTGTGCAGGGAAAGTGAAAGAATGTCAAACAAAGCCGATTGAGGCATTGTGCCTCGTGAGCCTCCGTCGCCCCGAGCGTCCGTGTCGCACACTCTGCTGGGAGTTGTAGTCCTGGACCCGGGGGTGCCTGGGAGGCGGGAGAGGGCTTGGGGTTTCTCGGAGCCGATTCCGCGGGAAGGGGCCGGGGCCCTTAGACTTCGAGTCGGGGCAGCCGCGGATCTTACCTGGAGAGACGTTGCACGTGGAGTCCGCGCCGCTGCCGTTCTCTGCCTGCTCTGGAGCGCGGGCCAGGGCAGCGGGGCCGATTGTGGAGCGGGTGAGTGCGGCCGCGGG